AAAAGCCTTCTCCATCTCCCGAGCTGTCGTTGTCCACCAGAGCTCTCGGTCTTTTCTTAGGCTCTTCACTATTTGGCGTTTGAGGGATTTGCGTGCGCCGTCGTACTCATTGCCTGCTGATATGGCTTTCCTGGCATCACTCATGGATAACGACCTCAACGACATCCAGTGGTCTCTTGCTGGTATGGTGGCAGCACTAAGGTGTAGTTGTTTAGAGACTAAGGATAATTTTACGGGAAGATCAGTTGCAAATTGTAGACTGCACATTAGCCCTCACATCATCTACGAATGCTCCGATTATTTATGCATGTCACTACTGTTTTCTTGTTAGTAAGCGGAGAATCATTTTGTTATAGTAGAAACACCTCATCGTTCAACTCTCCAAGCTCTCCTGCGTCCGGGAAAAGTGTACTTTCGAACAGAGATGATGGTGGCAGTAACAACGATGGGCTCTTTCTTCTCAAGATCGCAGTGAGCTGTCCGATGAAGGACAGATCAGGTCAGAGGCACAAGTCCTGAAACTAGCTCACCCTCAGCAGAAACCGAGGTAATTTGTCCATTTAGTAACTTTTTTCGGAGATGGTCGTACATAGCTCACAAAACTCTGAAGAAGTCTATTGATTTCGTTAGCTTGAGAACAGCAAAGACTTTCGACAAAATTCGAATCATCAGTGTGGAGGGAGAAGTTAACTGTGGCAGGAAACCCTCACTATTCAACTGAAATTTCTTTCAACGAGACTTCCCGCTTTGTGGATAAGGTGTTCAAACGATCACCAGATGTCTGAGCATGTCAGTAACTTTTCCCACACATGTGGAAAAGAAGTGACAATCAGGCAGGTAGTTACGGGTTATATTTTTTCCTGCGGTTTGAATTATCTGACCATTGTTGGCTTGAGCTCATTCTAAAGCAAGATTTCTACAGACGATATTCTACGAATCCATCGCGCTATCTTGGATTAACTAGCAGTGGACGTGCTTTCGCCTCAGACAGTGTTGCTGCAAGCCGGAATATGAAATGTCTTGTACTTCAAGCATCCTAAGACTGAAAGAATGGTTGTATGGCAGTGCAGCATCGGTATTGAACACTGATGTCATGCTGTCGATGATGATGATGATGATTGAATGGTTTGTTATCGTTGACCCCCCCTCCCCATGGAGCTTGACTTCGTGCAATAAGAAATGAAACAAATCAATATGTCTGTATGTCTCAAAATAGTAGGATATGAGAGCTCACTAAATGTATTCCGTGCTGAAGTCTAAAATTCCAAAATGGAATGGTGCATTGTTCTCGAAATGGAAACTATTCTGGACAGATATCGCCCAACCATTTGGTAGCGACTCATCAGTTGTTCAGGAAAGCATAGTGCTATGTTACACACAAGGTTCTGTATCGACTTCACAATTCTTGTACCTGAAAAGCTTATCAAAGTTGGTACTGTACGAACAGAACTGCTGCGTGCTTGTCTACTTGAGGCTTCGAGTTTCTTGATCTGTTGCGTCGACAGACGTGTTGGAACCAAGAATCCATAAGTTATGTAGTTTAGTGCTGAAGGAACGGACATGAATGTATTGCAGCTCACTACACTGTAACCGTAAATATAGCAAAATGCATGTTTGAACAACGTAGATTGGAGAAACACTACTCATAAGCTTGCTAAATAATCATTGACGGTCCATAATCGGTTTCACCAAATCAGTGTCTAGGTGAGTGTGTTCCACAAAATTCATACAACTTTAATTTAAGTAAAAGATAAGGTTAACGGATACTCAAGGATTGTGTATACCTGATAAGCCCGAATAGGAAGGGTAAAACCGGTCTTGGGCTGTTGAAACGATTTCAGCAACCTTATAAGTAGTGCAGTACGTCTATGCAAAGTATCGCTATATAATCGAATATCGTACCAACTGAAATATGAAACGATCATGACCAAAAGATTCAACTGGGATTCAGTTGAGTTTCCACGTTAAACCGAATCAATGTGTAAATGTAGGTATTCCACGTATAACCCGTTGATTTCCACCTATAGTTTCTGTGCGTGACATCACAATGAATTTCTTGAAGCACACCAGCCATGCAATTGAATCTCATCAAATCACAACACACGACATAAAGTGCTAACTCGATCTGAGTGGTCCATGCTTTACTTTACACATCCATAGGTGTTTTCAAATTTACGATTTACATTCCAAAAACATATGGACGAAAATTTGGCGTTACTCGTTCTAGTTCAATCAAGTTTTATCCCACTGTTTGGTTTCCACCTTCTTCGCATATCGTTCGGTTGGTCTGACAGATGAATAGATCGGACATAGTCGACGAACTGTGGCTTGAATCATGTCTCCGTGACCGAGCGTATTCGGGACCGCTTTATCTACATGTTCCAAATCGTAGTACACTTTATCCCATCCAGTCACTTGGTTGTCCGAGTGAGCGGCCACATATCTCCCACCCTTTGTGCGGCGAGCGGGAACCATCCAGGTGGCTGAATTTTGTGAGAACAATACATCCGACTCGATGGAGTGATAGAAAAGCGGAGACATTTCGCCGCCCTCATAACGAATGGAAAATTGGTCCAAACCGACAAGACCGAACAGCGGTTCAATATCTACACACTCCAGTGACAATGAGATCCACCCCTCTCTCTCAGCCCTATCCCAAAAGGCTTGTGGGTTGTCTGATGTGCTTGGTGGATTGTTGGACTTATCATACTCCTCCTCGAAGCTCAGAGTCTTCTGGCGACAATTTGTCCTTTGTACGGTTCCGAGATTTTGAGATGGGGGAAGCGTCTTGTCAAAGGAAACTGGTACAAATCGGACCCCGACAGTGGAATCACATCCGGAACACTTCACCTCTTCCACATTCTCCCTAACCCCATCAAGAAACTTGAAACGATACAAAATGTTACATGGACCGTCCGTTTCGATTTGACGGTCATCACACCTTGGATTTACTCTGATATTAATACAGTCGGGCATAAACATCGACAAGAACATTCGTTCGTCAGCTGATTCGTCAGATGTGCATGAAGGGGCTTTGGTCTGAACCGTGAAACGCTTCGCGGTTTTGGGTTTCTCTTCCGTTTCACGTGCTTCATGTGCATATTCTTGTGTCTGGTCATTTGGTGTCCTTTCCGCCAATTCACCTACGTTGTTTTCATTCGTTTGGTTTACGCTTTCTGATTGTTTTTGCTTGCGAATTTTGTCATACAGAAAGGCAAGGTTCGCTTCCAGGTAAGCACATGACAATGGCACGTAACCGAAAGGTAGCCCACATTTGCGACATGTGACTCTGCGACGCTTGTTCAGTTTCGAATACGCTGGCATTGTGGTCGACAAAGGGAGTGTCGGAATTTTCTGTAGAGATTTACTCATGGCCTATCCACACGATTAGTTGAAATTTCGGTAGCGTAATTACTCAGTGTGTCTGAAAGCGAATGCCTCTTTTGAAATCAGATCGATTGAACACGTGACCACGATATCCTCGTTAGCTCCACTATCAGAGGAACTGTCATAGACCTGTTGCGTATTTTATCGGAAAGCTTTGCAGTTCGTTTGTAACATACTGATTGTGCAGTAATACCGGTACTGAATTGAAACCCCATACCAACAGAAAATTTCCCATTGGGGGGCCTGTTTCGGACAAACGTGGTAAAACTAACGAGCTCTGCAAAAATACGAGAAACTACTGTGTTACGTACGCACTTTCAGTGAAATGACAAAAAGACTCACACTAGCTAAACAAGCATGTTGTAAACACTAGTCACTCAAGGGCCTAACCGATACATGAACACGTGACCCTGCACCCCGCAAGTAAATGGTGGTTGGCGGGATATCTTATCCAAGTGCACGTTCATCACTGCTCACAAACCGCTCGTGGTCGAACAGTTAAGTGTTCAGACGATTAGGCTGGATGTCGCAGGTTCGAAACACCACATAGTTTGGTTGATCGGGATGTAACAGCCGTACGGTGCATCCCAGCCGTCCCTTGAAGGACGAAAGCTCAACTGAAAATGTTCACCTCTCTTCATACTGCCTATAGTTTACACTAAACGTCGGAGCGAATTCAGAACTGTACGGCTTTCAGTAGTTGCTGTAAATGGACCCTAGCGTGTATAATGTGGTTCAGTGGCTGGGTATCGCGTCACTTATCGTCGATTCACGCAATTCAAAGTCACGTGATCACCTGCTGACTGATTGTAGGGCGCATCATATAAGTAACAGATGGTTGAAACCATAACTCAACACCCAAAATGCAAAACTGATATTCAGACTGAAAGATATAAACTGTACAATCGCGATCAGTGTAGACGCAATATTTGACTCAGCCGTCTTGGTGAACTTAAGCCTGGCATCAGTCGTTACATAAAAAGGACTCAGGCGTTGAGGGAATATTAGAAACATTTATTCCATGCAACCAGATCATTCGGACCGTAAACTGACAATAACATTTGCCAGTAAAAGCAAATTCCATCCTCATTTTATATAACCGTATGCACTGAGTTATTTGTGGCCTCCAGACTCATCGGAAACCACAGATCTTTCAGTTTTGCTGAATACAGCTGAGTAAATATCCAAGTGAGTTGTGCGTGACAAAGCTGACAATAAGAACGTATGCACCCTAGTAACTAAAGCTCGACCAAAGTTCATTGGATCTTGACTGTATTCGAACAGACGTTTTGGTTGTGGAACATTAGTGTTGATCTATCTGCGAGATGCTAATGCCAGTGAAGGTACGAAAGCCCTTCGTAGTAAGTCGTTTATTGCCAAACACCAACTAAACAGTTAGAAACTATTGGATGGGAAAATAAACGTCTCATGTGCGCCTTGTTTTTAAAAACTGAACGTCCTCAGCGTCTTCCTAAACTTTCGAACATTAGTGTTGATCTATCTGCGAGATGCTAATGCCAGTGAAGGTACGAAAGCCCTTCGTAGGTAAGTCGTTTATTGGCAAACACCAACTAAACAGTTGGAAACTATTGGATGGGAAAATAAACGTCTCACGTGCGCCTTGTTTTTAAAAACTGAACGTCCTCAGCGTCTTCCCAAACTTTCGTGGATATTCACTGACTATCACGCAATGGTAAACAAACGTTGCAATCGTAAACGAACGTGATAGACCTCACCTTCGATTGGACGCAGGGCGGAGGTCCAACAAAACCACATACTACTCACATTCCCCATCAGTAGTATCCGCCGTTACACCAGCACTTTAAACTGATGCTTGGATTTCACATCCATGAAAGCGGAATGCCCTTGAATGGAACGAACGTGGAGGTGTGGAGACTTAGTGCAATAAGGGACCTGGAGAAAATGGATAATAATGTCGAAGAAAGCACGATCCGGGGGTCATGTTAGAGGGAACTCACATTAGAGGTGTTTGTCCTGTGTTTTTTTCAAACTTCACCCAGACGGTCCAGCTAGAAAGCAACAACAGCCTTGCAAGTACCATCACTTCCTTGCCATATTCGGTAAGTTTTCCGGCAGCGTCGTTTGCAACCCGGCTAGGAGAACGCGGAGATCCCGGCGTTATTCGATGTGATCATGTGCAATAGTGTATGTATGCTTTTACCCAAGACACAAGCGAGTTGCACAGCACTCGATTCAGGGTCAGCACCAGAAGCTGCGTTGGTTGGGACATGTGTTGCGTATGCCGAACCATCGTTTGCCGAAGAGAGGGAGTGCTGTTTTCCATGCCCAATTCAGAGTGGCGTAAACAGAGAGGTGGTCAACCCTCGACTTGGCAGAGTATGAAGGACATCACGAAACGCTTGGGTGCTACTCGCCTTCCAGGATGGGGACCGCGTGATCCTAACTGTGCCTGGTCGGAGACACTACAAGATATGGCTGCCAACCAATTTCAGTGGCGTTCTTGTTGTCAGTTTCTATCCAGATCGCCTGAGTGAGTGTCTGGAGATATAGGCACCTCGGAATGATTGTGCTAAGCTAGCACTAAGTCCCTCCCCCATCCACCTTTATTCTTTTCTTTTCAATAAGGCTTTCAAATAAATCATGGTTGTACGCCAGTGAAGCCTCGGTGTTGAACACTGATGTCATGCTGTCGATGAGGATGATGATGACGATGAACCCCAACACTCAAATGACATTTGGTTCCGGCTGAGCCTCACATTTTGAAAAAAAAACAATTCCCTGGCCACTGAGTATAAAACACGGTAACATTCCCCATAGTTTCTACGGTTGGGAGGGCATTCATGTGAACACTGTTCGCTATTGCCGAAAGAATGTCTGTACCGAACGGAAATTGCACGGTGATATGCCAGTGTATACCTGCACTAACAATGGATGAAACATGGATCAGAACTACACGAGAGAACAAAAAAAGTATAGATTTATCAGATAACAAAATGAAAGAACGATACATACTAGTAAACACAGCGAGAAAAAATGGGTGAGCGCGTGCCGCGGAGATTCAGCGAGCAGATGTATACCTTAACATCAAAGGGCTTTCCTTCATGAATGCTGAATAGAAGAGGGATGCGTCAGAAAAAGAGGCCAGCGATCCCGCATGGTGATACATTTACGGCTCAGAGGAGGATATTCTTCCCCAAAAGTGATGCGGAGCAGGCTAGGTTGTCTAAGATTAGGAACAATCATCCTATCAGAATTGTTCATCATTACTGTAGAAACGAAAAAGTAATATTTTAGGTGAGTCTATAAATGCTATGGAGCATAATTTGCCAATGTTTGTACGAGTTGCTGCATGTTCTTTTGGACGCACGTTAGAATTGGAGCATAACAATGTTTGTACGAGTTGCTGCATGTTCTTTTGGACGCACGTTAGAATGTGAGGAAACGCAGTGTGAAAAAAATTTTCCTTTCCTGACACTACTTATATGAGTTTTCGGTAGTGGTGTTGGGTTATGGAAAGATTAACTGATCGGTTTTTAAAACATGAAATCCGGTTGAAACCAGTTCAGTAAAACGAGGAACTCTATGCAGTCACGTGTTCTGGACTCCTACTCGTTCAAACTGTCCCAATTTGAGCGGAAAAACAGATGCAAGGCTGTTTGTTAACAGCCAGTGTGAAGAGATGTGAAAAGTTTTCGTCTGTAGTGAAGTCAATGTATACTCAAAAGCCGAGAAGTAACTTACGCTCGTTTTGCTCTTTTTGCGAATCATCATTAGTGTGTACTTCCCGAAATTCCGGTTGGGAGACTCGAACCCGTGACATCGCGGCTAGTAGTCTGGTTCAAACCCAAGCCAATGAACAGCAAATTACAATCAGACAAAATACGATGCCGCTCGTGCTCTGATCGCGGTATTTCCATTTTCCGCGATCATACAAGAAACACCGATTTGTATCCACCGCATTTTCTTCACTTGGCTTGTTCCTTAATGTTCTGTGAACATTTTATGAGTTTACATTGTTTTGGCTCCATCTGCGTGGAGCTGTATTCTCATCTGAGAGGTCACCCTCAGCTAAGTTCACTGTCCGTTTTGTGTGTCACGAATCGGGGAAATTCTAGCCACTGTTGACCAAGACAACTTACAATTATTTCATATATTCTGGCGCGGACAAAATAGCTTTTGCCTGCAATATCAGGATTAATAAAGCAAATAAGGACTAGACGTATTACACTACTCATAAGGTATCTGGAAGTTTATCGACAGTCCAAGGCCGGTTTCGCCCTCCTTGAGGCGCAGTCCCCGAGTTTCCGTCAACCTGATGTTCTACTTGAAATTTGTGATATACACTCATTTCCAAACAAATTTGGTTTTGCGGGGGACTCACCTGGAACCCAGCTGAAAACATCGCATGCAAGAAATTCAGTTGAGTTCCAGGTGAGTCTCTCGCAAAACCAAATTTGTTTCGCAAAAAGGAATAAACTTTCCGAGTCACCCTTTCTACAGAAAATTGTACATTATTGTGAGGGTATTCCTTTCCAGGTAACAACCTATTTTATCAGGAAAGATTTGTAACCAGGTGACCATAGAAAAATTACGTCAGCTGAGCGAATTCGAATCCTTGGTAAGTCCTCGTCTTCCGCTATTGGCGAGGCATAAAGCGATCTGTTCTGTTCGGAACTGCACTATCACTGTTCTCAAACACCCAGCGTCATCACATCAAAATGACACAAAGTAACAAACGTTTATCGTAAACTGCTGATCGGTCAATCACCGATCGTCGAGTAAACGGCAGTTCTAACGGTCGTACAAAAGGCATTTTGGCCAGAAGACACGTTTTCCGCAAATAGAAAGGTTTTTATCCCGGTAGAGTAGGAAGGACAGGTTGAATACAGGTGGTACCTTGTGAGTGATCGAAACTGATCCACACACACACATACACCCATGTATTGGGTCGATGA